CGTAGCTTCTTGTTCCTAGTAGTACGGCCAGGAGCCCCGATCGTAGCGTCCTTGCTCCTAGTTGGTGTCGTTGGGGGTTCAGCGAAAACTGGTGCTTTTGGATGGGCCGAAGTCACCAGTCACTTCTGCGAGGAATCACGAAAAATCATCACGAGGTGAACAGGCAATTCCTCAGATGTTCTTCCGGAACTGGAAGTGTTTTATGTTTTGATTGAACGGGTTAATTTTACGACCATTTCTGACTGGCAATGAACCCTGAAGAATCGGGTTATGCGAAGATTTGCCGGCAGATGTATGCGCTCTAACAAAGCCACTCGGCGCACTGATGATTTTGTAAGCGTATTCACTGCTTGGTTTTGAGATATCAATATGTCCCTTTTGCTGGTTGGACATTCTGTACACCAAGATGAACCCCCAAAACCTTTGGTTTGCAACAAATGTCAAAGAAACAACTCACTTTCCAGGCATTTATTACCAGGTGTCGTGAGAACTTGCAATGGGCTAGCTACCTCACCTCGACACTCTTTGATACCTAAGGAATGTCCAGTACCTTCAGCAGATCCAGCACAACGAGGCGCGGAGAGAGGCATGACTCATGACTCCCATTGACGTTTGTGATGCGTTCGTGATTTCCTTGGGCATTGATCTTTGCAACCAGCGGTGCATCCCAAATCAGTGCAGGATGAGGGAACTCAAAATCGGGGTTGTCCTGCGGTTGCTTGCGATTTTACATGCTTGGGAGACCAGCAATGCTTGGTGAACAGGAATAAGGATATCGGGAGAATTCAAAGTGGCCTTGTTCTGGCGTGAGCACCCAAACAACAGAAGAGCATCCACTGTGGGTAGGAGTCAAGACTAAAGCCAAAGAACCCTCGTCAAAATGGTTTGATCTCGCATATTAGTAGACAAAAATGAAAGAATACGAGTGCTGTTTGTCCCCAGGGTGGTGGGTGTTCTAGAACAGATCCAGTGAGTGATCTGGAAAAAACTGTGTGAATTTCATTCAAAAAAAGGAAACATACGGTTTCTTCCTACAACACATCCCAAAAGAA